AAAATAAACATTTTAAAACAGCCAAAGCAGAAGCCTGGACTGTTTCAGAAGCTGGTACCCATAGAGTAATGTCTGGAAATTTTAATGTCTTCCTGATAACAGTTGTCACTTAAAGAAGAGGAAATTCAAGTGACTCATGAAGGTGGCAAAGCTAACAAGTTGTCAAAGCTCCTGCCTCAGGGGTCTAGTTTTTGTAATGCATGCATCAGGAGACTGTCTCCATAATTCATGCATCGGGATACTGTCTCCAGGTAAGGCCCTTTACTGCTGCTGCTGCTGCTGCTGCTGCTGTTCATCACAGGTGGCTCTCTACTCAGGCTCTCTCCACCCTGCATAGCACGACTGACATTTTGCTGTTGCTAGTTTTAGCTGTTGGACAAGCTTGAGTGAACTGTAGAGAGTGACAGTATTCCTAGCTTCTGCTTACCAGATGCCAGTAACACCCTCCTTTGCCCACGATGCTGATAACCAAAACTGTCTCCAGACTCTGACAAATACCCTTCTGGGGAAAATGGCCCCAATTAAGAACAATTGTTCTCAAGTCTTCTGTCCTTTAAATACCATCAACTTCATCCAAGAGGGGGTGGAGGGAAATGGGAGAAACTGTACAATTTCTCACACAGATTCTAAAATCTCTTCGTTATATTGTCACCATGTTGGTACCCCGTTCTCAAAGAGTTGAGCCCCTGTGTGCCTTTTCTCAAAGTCTGAGTTTGTTACGATCATCTTTTCCATTTCTGCCCTTACTTGGCTTTCCCTGTCCCCAGCTATGCTTTGCATCAGTGGGAGATCTCTTGTCTGGATTTGCAGGAGAATTCAGCTGGTGGAGAGATGGCAAAGGAGTGAATGGGGTGGCTGAAATGGGAGAAAGTTCATGCTCCTGTGTGACTTCTTAATACTGTTGGTCAAGCCCCTGCTCTGTGGGCCCTGTCTTGGTCCCATCTTCTACCACACAACCCCGAATCTCGGCGTTACCTCCATCCTTTGCTCCCACATAGGCTAGCAGGGCCTTCCTGCTGCTGCTCTCTGGTTTACTGTTATGAGTCTGCACCCTGTTCCACAACAGCCCCAATTAACACACAGAGACTCTAGTAGATATAATGTTGTTGGCCAGGTACTAGTTTCTTATCAGCTAGCTCTGTCTTAAATATTAACCCATTTCAATTAATCCATGTATCTCCACGTGGTCTCATCTTACCAGAGAGAGGGCCCAGACCTCTGTTCACTCAAGTCTCTCCATGTTGACTCCTCCCTACTACTTCATTGAATCCTCCTTGTCTCCTAGTCCCACCTATCTTGCTTTCCTATTGGCCAATAGTGCTTTATTCATTAACCAGTATGAGAAACATACTTACAGAATGACATCTCCCATCATCTCCTCTTTTCTGTCTAAAATAAAAACAATTTTAACCTTAGCATAGCAAAATATGACACACAATAGTTACCAACTAAGAATCACAGTTAACAATATGTAGTCCATTAACATTTAGCAAAATTTAAAGAATATATTCTATCATCTATCCTATCTATGTGAGTCTAAAGTCTTATATGTAACTTATCTTTAATCCTAACTAAGGAAAACTATACAATAACTATTTGTCTTCAACTTCATCAAAGACCATAGAAGGATAATTTATAAACTCTAGAAATGACAGAGACATCTCGCTACCTGGTCAGGCACCTGAAGTTCTTCTGTAATGTTCCATCTTCAGCCCATAGGCCATAGTGCATCTGGCAGACTCCTCAGCAAAGCAGGAAACTTTAAACTGTCCACCTGTATTGGCAGTTTGTCAGTCATTTTTCTCTTTGTCCTGCAGACTGGCAGACTCTTCCATGAAGCAGAAATCCTGTAGCAATGTCCATCTTGTATCAGCAGTCACTTTTCTGTGGGTCCTGCATGTCCAGTTTATATAGCATAAAGTCAAACAGTCCAGACAAGAGCAGTATCTTGCCCAAATGGCTAGTCTTGCCATATTGGAACTAAACTCCATAACGTGTTTCTTCAATGTCCATCTTCCTTTCTGATGCAGGTGGTGTTTCCAGGAGCAGTTGTGCCTCACTGTTAAGAAAAACCCTAAACCATTTTAAATGCCATATTCTGTAGATCTTTGAGAGATATGAAGAATGCCTATCCATCTCAAATACATCTTAAATATATCTTGAAAACCTAACTAACTTAATTCTAAGTTTTGACTATCATAGGTAACTATCTATAATCTGTACTAATTTATGCATTACATTTCTAAATGAGCTATATAAACACAATACCTAAACAAGAGGAGAAATATACATATCACAAAATTGACCTTAAATTGTATCAATAAATGAAAATCCATTCCAAAACAACATTCATAGCTATACCATAATTCCCTTTTTACCTTTAAAAAGATTGGTTGTGATCATTAACCATTTATAACCAACCCCATTTAAATGAAAACAAACATTTATAAACAATATTTGGGAATTTGTGCGTCGTTCTTTCCAAACTACTTCCTACTGGTAGGAGGCGCTGTCATTGGGGATCCTAAGAAGATGCAGAAATCCTGGCTGTAGTGCTCTGCAAGGCTGGCTTGTCCCAACTGTTTTGAATTTTGGATCACCTGGGACACTGCTTCAGAGGGTCTGGCTTGATTAAACCATGTTAGTCTAGAAGGAATCCACAACTTTTCATTTTCTGTGGAAACAAAAATAGAAATCCTTTCCCCCAGTAACCTGTCCTTAGACTTAAATTTTGGAGTCAAAGCATTTTTAAAATATGTAAATTGGTTTAACCCAGCAGCATTTGTTTTAACAGTTGTTGTTATTTCCTCAGCAGTCAAATGATTTAAATATAACAGAACAGCATATAGTATCCACACTCATTTTGTGCTTCCCATCTTTAAGTGTTTTTTTTTTTTTAATTACCCTATTTCTTTTATTTTTATTTTTTCATTTTTTGAGACAGGGTTTCTCTGTGTAACTTTTATCTATCCTGGAATTAACTCTGTATACCAGGTTTACTTTGAAATTACAGAGTTCTGCTTGCCTCTGTCTCCTGAGTGCTGGGATTAAAGGCGTGTGCCACCGCACCCAGCTACTCTCTGTCTTTTTAAAATCATTTTATTCTTTTTCTCTCCCAAGCGTACATATACTTTTAAACTTACTGTAAACCTTTAGAGGTTTTTCTTAACCTGAATCTGTCTTTACTGTAAATCTTTATCTTTTTCTGTCCACCAGCTATATTAGTCACGGTCTATCCAAGATGGTGCTGGGTACCTTTACCCCCAGAACTGAGAGCTGTGCTCACTGCCTTGGTCTGCGCTGCCATCCAGCAGCATGCTGTTGGGTTGGAGATGTGGTCACTGCCATTGCCAGCTTTCGTACACACCAATGAATTGTTAGCAAAGCTATTTAAAAGCCATGCGGGTTTTTTATTTTTTATTTATTTATTTATTTATTTTTTTTTTGCTGCATATGCTGAGTCAGGAAATCTCCATTAAAGGAGCCGCATAAGTCTTTGCTTGTCTCTAGCAAAACAGAGTCCAACTGAGAAAAATGCTGGTACCAAGAAGCCTTGCTTGTCTCTGTTCTTTTGTTTCTAAAATCCCCTTTTAAGCTTTTGTCAGGTTTGAAGTGGAAGTTCTCAGGTTCACATTCGGCGCCATTTTGTTACGAGTAGGTTTTCCCCCCAGCCCTGCCTGCCCCCAAATAACACACAGAGATGCTGTATTTGATATAATTCTGTTGGCCTGTTACTAGTTTCTTATCCATTAACTCTGTCTTAAATATTAACCCATTTCTATTAATCTAAGTATTTCCACGTGGTCTCATCTTACCAGAGAGAGGGGCTGGCGTTCTTCTCTCCGTCCTCCATCTTTAATCTCCTCCCTACTACTTCCTCTCTGCTCCTTGTCTCCTAGTCACGTCTATCTTGCTTTCCTATTGGCCAACAGTGCTTTATTCATTAACCAATATGAGAAACATACTTACAGAATGACATCTCCATCAGTTTACCTCACATTTCCATGTGGCCGTGTATAGTTTCCTCACCCCACATACCAGACCACATGCTCCCCAACATGAGGACATAGCAAGATGGAGTTGCCTGCAAGGCAGAAAAGAGTCCTCACCAGGGCCTAGATCCACCAGCACCTTGGTCTTAAAGTTCTCAGCTTCCAGAAATCTAAGAAATTCTGTCTTTTGAACCTCTCAGCCAGTCAATTTTGTTATGGCAGAGCATGGTGCCTAACACATCAGTTTCTTGCTCTACGCTCTATGGTTATTGTTCTGTGGAAATCACCATCTTTTTATCTTTATGGTGTCTGGATCTAATTGAGTCAGTGTACTGAGATATGGTTCTATTGCTATTCAAAACAAAAGCCTGGGAATGGCACCCCAATATCCAGGGTGCAAATACTTGGACCATGGTGGATTGTAAGCTCCAGAAGACCTTAGTAAATAGACATGCAAAGAGATACAAACGTGAGTGCTCTGCTCTGACTACCACGATTGGGAGATGGCATCAGTGAGCAATGTGGTGTGCAGAGAATACCATCATTGCACAGTCCTTACACAGGCATACATACACAACCCCAGTGTTCCACACCTCAGAGTTACTCATTTTCCTGCATGCTACATTTCAAGAGGACATAAAATTAAAAACTATTAGTTGTAGCTGTTGTGTCCCATAAGAAGATCCAGAGGGGTGCCATGGACCCTAGTGAGATATGAGCACTATTATTTATTTGTTTGTTTGTTTATTGGCACTTTCAGTACATATGAATTAAAAAATGGTGATTTACACGGCTGGATAATTCTTTAGTATTTCAGCTTCAGACGATCTCATCATCAGTCATTGATATACTTGAAACAGGATTTTGAAAAATCAGTGATTTTGAGAAATCCCAGACTCACCGTCCTGTTATTCTGTCATTTAGAAATAAAGTCATTCTATTCCGTATCCCTGGTGAACATCCCCGGGAGCACAGAGCCACCTGAACACAACAGCCAGACACCAAAGAAACACCAACATATACACTGTTTTTATTTTGAGAAAAAAAAATACACATTCATTTTTCTTCTGCCCCTCACATTTAAATATGCTGAACACGTGTGAGGATTCTGTAGTCTACGTAGGCAAGACATTACAATATGATATCTCTTAGTGGTATTTACAGTACTCACTTATTTAAAGTTACAAAGCCAAAGCAAAAAACTTAAACCGTGTTTATGATAACTTGGTAAGTCTGTGGATTCATTTTCCCCCAATCTGGCAGTACAGCACCATAGAAAACACCAAACCAAGAATCTAGAAAGAACAAATAGGATTAGTGTGGAATTCAAAGAACAACATTCAAGAAAACAGAAACTGTCTACTGAGTCTCTCATGGGAAATTAGAATCCTGAGGAACAGAATACTGAAGATTGGGTGCAGATCTCTCTGTCTGTCTCTGTCTCTCTGTGTGTCTGTCTCTCTGTGTGTGTTTCTGTGGTGTGTGTGTGTGTGTGTGTGTGTGTGTGTGTGTGTGTGTGTGTGTGTCCCTGCTGCATTGTGCAGTATCGGCTGCTATCACAGGATGCTTTCCCCTTGTGGTATGCACACATCTTTATGGAAAGCATTTGCCTCCGAGCTCTGGGTACCACCAGCCTGCAGGAGCTAAATATACTTCTTGATTCCACTGAAAGACCATGGTCATCTGGTTTGGATCATCAAGGAGTCTAGAATTTCTCCTACTGAAGTTTTAGGCAATGCTTGGAAGTGAAAAAAGTCATGTACATTTTTTTGAAGAAGAAAAAGAAAAGAAAACGCACTTGTAAACTATGGGGAATAGCTTAACTCAGGAATTTTCTTTTGAAGTCCCAGAACACAATTGAAAATCTAGGGCGTGAATTTCATCTCATTAGTTCTCCCAGACTGAAGAGCCTCCAAACTGGCTCTAATTGACTCTGCAGTTGGCAACTTGAATGCTTTGGTTTTTGACGTAGACATGGAGTGTGTTTTGGATGACTCAGCAAAGGGCACCTCCCTCTGCCTCAGCCCCGTCTCAAAGGAGACACGGGGTAGGGGTGGGGAGAGCTGGGGGATTGACAGTTTCCATCTGTACTGCACATAGACTGAAGAGTTTATGAAACACGTTCAAACGGTAGTTTATATCAGCGTTTTGTCACACTAACCTCACACTTCTTCCATTTCTTTGTATCTGTTAAGAACATTTATGTTCAGGAAAACAGAAAGCAGAGTCCACGTTGTATGGTGTGTGGACAAGGAAGGACTCAGTGCAAGCTTGCTCCTCGGTGTTGGATCCTAGACTCCCACATGTCGAAGTTGCTTTTTAAAAAATATGGTGAAACGGCCATTTCTCTGATATTTTTGTACCTGGAACCTCCTGTGAGGTTAAACTTTGCTCTATGAACTGATGACTATTCCATGTCACTTGATAACTTTTTATTTGGTGAAAGTAAAACCACAAAATGCTAAGCACTTTTTAATTATTTAATAATAAAATTCTGCTATTTAAGTCTAGATAAGGGCTCCAAACATCCACAGATGAATTTTTTTTCCACAGAATTAAGTATGAGTGTCTTGTATGAGTTCCTAACATGCAGGCTGAAAGGAGCCTCCAAGGTATACAGCATTAATAGAACCTCCACCTAATGCCTAAAGACGGAACATGATTTTTGTTCTGAGATTGTCTACTTGTATTTTCTGCATTGCATCTGTAGAGAATTGCTTCCTTAGAAATGTTGGTGAGAAGAGACTTTCTCTCTTTTCATCTTTGTGTTTCCTTGAATTTGGAAGCCAGAAAGATTTAAATGCTGAGAGAATCATCTTGTGACTCTAAGACTAAAACTCATTTGGGGGCACATTTCTCCTGCTTGGGTAACAGGGGGCCATTTGCAAAGCTCTCTTTTGAATTTAAATTAAAATAAGGCACCAAATATTGTTTTTGTTTTGTTTTATTTTGTTTTGTTTTGTTTCCATCAAACTCTAAACTTTAGACTGTCCAGCAATTCTGTCGATCAGTTATTAACTGTATCTTCAATATATAGTCTAGGCATCACAATTTCACTGGGCTCACTAAAGATTACATATTATGACAGTACCACACAAACTCCACAGTGCTAAATTACTGTACATAAAGTATTTTATTAAAGTATTTCACTGGAAAGTCATATAGGAGAATTGGTAATGTCCCTAACTGTGTGACAAATACATGGAGTCTATCAAATTCATGAAATATTGATAATTGCTATTTTCCTTGCAGTCTCATTTTCCACTAGACCGTCTAGATTCTTGGCAATAACTTTGGCTATGATGTACAAGACACCAATCCAATCCATTATGTCCTTATTATTTTTGGCTCAACTTCAACAAACCCCTTAAAATATATGTGAATTGTATTCAGTCATTGGCAATTCTCTGAATTTGAGTCTAACATGAAATATAATACTTAACCTCATTTAAAACCTATTTTCCCAATCTTAGTTAGTTAATGATTAAACTCAGGTCTCTGAGCATATTAACCTCATGCTTTACCACCAACCTATATATTCCTTTAAAATCAACTCTATTGAAACAGAAGTATGTGTGTGTGCCATATGTTCATATGACCATGAGTATGTATGTGTATGTATATATATATGTATGTATGTATGTATGTATGTATATGTATGTATGTATATATATGACTCTTTACTCACTTTGTAGCCATCGTCTATTATTTCTAAATCAGCATGAAGCCAGAATACAAAGTAAATAATCAAAGGACACAAAACAAATGGCAGAATCAAGAGAAACAGGCCTAACGCAAAGTAACATTTGACTTTGCCTTATTTAGGCTATGAGAAGAGTAATTTTTTGATCCTGGTAGTATCTAGGCTTTTCTGATACATGACTGAGAAATTTCATCAGTAACAACATTAAATTACTTTAATCTCAACCTAAGTTCCAACCAAGCAGTTATGTGACAGGCGGCTGCCCAGCATTCCATGAGAATGATTCAAATGCCATTTAGCCACAATCACCAGGGAAATACCACACGGTGCTTAAATTCTTGCTACTGTATTGATGTGCACTCCGGAGTGATTCTGACCCATCTGATATCTGCATTTCTCGAGATCTGAGATAATTCCATAAATGCCTCTGAAAATGTTTCAGTCCATCTTCTTTGCAAACATTTGGAGGCCATATAAAATTTATCCATCAGGTTGTAAAACAAAATGCCAAGAAAGTTCAAGATAGACATCCCATGGAGAATGTATTTTCCAACATCAGTAATTAAATTGATGCAAGGATCCACTAGTCCACCTGAGAGCTTTCCAAGTCTATTTGCAGTGTCTAAGCTGAGAGAATCCAAGGAAACTAACAAATTGGAGCCAAAACATTTCCCTACTCTTTTGAGTTCAGCTTCTATTTTCCATTTCAAGACCCTGGCTAGAAATGGACAATCGAGACTGTTGCTTTTTTTGTTTGTTTGTTTGTTTTTTGTTTTTGTTTCCTGCTCTCCCTTCCTCACTTCAGAAAATTTTTAACACTTCCACTAGTTTCCATGCAAAAGGGAATGTAGCTACAAATAAGAATTGTGTAGATCTTAATTAATTAATTTCTTAGGGAAACAAGAAGGCAGTTAAGAAGTAGCAGCCTCAGCCTTCTTGGTTTATAGGACTATAATACTACCTGTTCCAGACTCGAGACAGGTTCAGAGAGATGCTGCACCCTGGGAAGTGTGGAACCAGTATTTTTGTTACAACCAATGAGAAATAGAATGAACATAGATGCAATGAACTGTTATACTGTACCTCAATAAATGCCAGTCCAAAAGCAAGTCCAATGACTCTAATAATATTCTTTTCAATCAGATCTTTTACTGAAGAAGAACAGGTCTATAAGAATAAGCAAGTAAACATTTTTAGTGAAATTTTGATCTCATCTTTATTCTTCTACTTGACTTTTTATATTGTTAGCAAGATCAACAAAAAGGAAATGAACTGTTTCTTCTACTACTACCTACACTCTTACTCCATGTGTTAAAGAGCATTTGAGCTAAAAATATATATTTTTTAGCTACATATTTCCTAAATGCTAGGATTGATAATCAATAGAATGACACTGGGTATATCATCCACTCCAGGACAGGCCTCATGTTCAGGAGTATTTGACCAACATATAATTGACTCCACAGGGTGTGTGTGTGTGTGTGTGTGTGTATGTGTGTGTGTGTGTGTGTGTGTGCTTTTATTCGGTTACCCTTTGGTGGGACTTTTTGAGGGGAGGTATTTTGTTTTCTTGTATTGGGTCATTTTTTAAAGAACTTAAAATTGGGAGGGTAGGGTTGGGGAGAAGATCTGGAAAGACTTGGGGAGGGGAAGAATGGGATTAAAATAGATTTAAATTTAAAATTGTTTTAAATAATATATATATATCTACATATATATATATGAAACTGAAAAACAAAAATAATTTTGTGAAAATTTAAAAATAAATCCATACAAATATATCTCCAGGCTATAATTTTTATAATCAAAAGACCATAAATAATTGTGTCTTCTCTTTGGATTATTTATCTAAGAACTGGTGTCTCCCTAACTATGCAGCTTGTGAGCTGCAGTACAGAAATCTACCATGGAGGCTACAGACAGATATAGTACAGATGTCCCTCTTAAAACCGCAAAATTTCAAATACTTCAATAATAAATATGAGTGCTGTTTTTTACCTTAAAATGTTATGTATACTTTTCTGCTACTTAAGTAAGAAAGAAAATTTAGAAAACTGTTTGTCCGGTACATTATTTTGAAGTGTATTTTCAAGCCAGCCTGGAAATCAAATTTTAAAACATTTCAGGAAAATTCCAAACATTTCAGTAACTGAAAGTAACAAGGGCAACTTTTTAAAAATGGAAAAGCACTGCGCAACATCATCTGTATTGTCATGAGCTATGCCACCCCTCGTGTGTATATATAAACTGACCAAATCATGCTACTTGCTAGAAACAGAGAAAAACCTCCCCAAGGCTGGAAAGGTCTTTCCCGCTACCGCATTCCTTAATGTGATGGACTTCTGCATTCACTTCTAATCCAAAGCAGCAAACGTCTGAAATTGTCATGTCAGTTAGGGTCAAGAGGGAGATGGATAACTACATCTATTGATTCACATTCATTACATCTGTCTCCTCCTGCACCCAAAACTGTAAGGCTACCTTGGCAAAAGAGAGGGGAGAAAATAAAAGGAAACATGAATAGTGGCCATTACACATTTCCTTTTTATTCCAGACTTGCAAATGACACACAGCAGATGGAAGTATTCAAAGAATTTATGGCCTTCCTTTTAGGGTACTAGGACAGCTGTTGGCTTATACTCAGATGAATTATGTGTGAACTTTCAGAAAATATCTCTTTAATAAGGGCTTTGCAGAGTATAACTTAAGGAAAAACATCTTTCCACTGAGCCTTTCATAGGAAGTGGACATCCATGTCAACAGAGCCTATGAATTTCTTCCTCATCCTAGGTGGAAGCTACCTACATTTATCTGTACCAGACAATGATTTCCATCATACCTTGCAAACAGTGTGTTGTTAAATTTAAGTAGGCAGAAGGAAATCAGAGAAGACTATGAAAGGCAAGAGTAAAAAAATTAGTTGCTATTATTTTTTACAATGAAATGACACAGTAATACTGCAGCCTGGTAGTTTCTTCCCCCCATGGATCACTGCACAAATGAGCTCCACCAATGCCTCTTCGGAGAAGAGCCTCGTAAGCTCCAGAGCAGAGAATTTTTTCCCCTTCGGTTAGGTATTTTCTTTCATTAATTGATGACCTCAACAATTGGTAAGCAAAAGCAACGCTAGATTGGGAATAACCTTTGGCTATTGTGGACACTAATCTATTGTGAGTGGTAGTAGCATTTGTGGATCTCTCATGACAATAATTTAAAGGATGCTGAAGCCGCTTGACGATACCACGGTAGAACTGATAGAGAGTAGTCTCCAAAGAATAGTGGTTTAAAAAATTAAACATTCATGCCAACTGTCCTGTGTCTACTAAGCCTTTCCAGGCACAAGGAAGAGCATAGGAAAGGCCTTGTGGTGAGGGGTACATGCCAGGCCCTCCATGAACAATCATCCTGGACTGCAATGATTAACTCAGATGGGGACCGCAACTCTTGTGCTGGCTCCTACTTGAGCATTTTAGTTATATTATCAAGCTGCCAAGCTATTTTTCTCTCTTCCCTGTTTGATAATCTATTCTGTGAGTATAGGTTTTACACCCTGGGTACATGCTGATTGCCAGGAACTAAATGACGGGGGAGCTGTCCTGAGTGTTCACTGCTTTGGATCAGGTGTAAATGGAGACCGGCCCTCCAGTGGGCCTGGCTCACATCAGGTAGTTAATAGCTATTTGGTAATTAGTCATAAATTTTTCATTAAAACAATACAGGAAAAGCAGGTGATACCCACATGTCAGACAGTTAGGAAGTATATAACACATAGAAGATAGAAACTCACCTTTCAAATTTATTTCAAATATCCAAAGCAATTTCCCAGTGGCAACAATAACTAGTTTAAGTTAGCAAGTATATTTAACATCTGGAATTTAACTCCTCAATATCAAGTCCTTAATTTATACTTACATCTCTTCTTGGGAAAAGGTATTATGACTAGTGGGAATAAAAAGAAGACTGCCTTTTGAAAATTAAAGTTAATTTCCAGAAATTTTATTAAGAAAGAAACAATAGAGGTTAGTAATTGTAGTCGCCAAAGACAGAATAAAATAAACTTTTATGTTAGTTTGTACCTGATGTAACTTTGATCCACGAAAGTTGGATTTAAACGATGCTAAACTCATCGACAAAAATACTTTCATTTTAAAATATCTTCTTTTATGTTTAATAAAGATTAGTTTTACATTTGAATAATTGTTGTATTTTAACATCAGAGTTCCCCTGGTGCTCGCTGTATTTTAAGTTTTTACAGAGACTGTCACTGCGAAAATAATATAGCATAACTACTTAATGTGCCAGATTGGATCTTATTCTCACCTGTGAAGTAACTTTATATCCCTGATAATATATACACTGAGATCTTGTATCTGGACATTTACATGACTCTCGAGCCTCTTCAAAATTATTTCCCCAATCTTCAGCTCCTTCGACTAAGCCACAGCATTGAAACTGTGAGAAGTTGGAGGAAACACAGTCATTAACATAACCAAAAGCATACATTGAATTGTTCTAAATGTCATGATAAAGATGTGTCTTATGCTATAATATAGACTTCAGTTTATTTATGCGGCGTGTGTGTGTGTGTGTGTGTGTGTGTGTGTGTGTGTTTGTGCAAGGCATGCTACTCACATGTACAGGGAAGCCAGAAGAGGGCATGGGATCTGATGGAGCTGCACTAGGCGGTTGTAGCCAGTTGTGAGCCAGTCTGGCATGGACCCTGAGAGCTGAACTCTGAACTGACCACAGATACTAAAAGAGCAGCAAGTACTCTTAGTGACCGAGCCATCCCCGCAGCACTCCTTATGCTGAAATATGGCATGTCACCTTACCTGCACAGAGCACGCATACACATAGCTAAAATAAAAACAAACTCTATCTTGAGAAAGGAAAGTTTCATTTGGGTCTGAAGAGCAATGAAAAGAAACTGACTGAGATAGTCAAAGCTCGAAGAGATTGGAAATGAGGTTTAAAAAACTGAAGTTCTTAACTTTTTTAATGACAAGAGAAAGGGTAGACTCTGAGCTATGTATACATCCCAGTTTCACATAAAAAAGTCAAGTTCTCAATTTAAATACATACATACAAACATAAACACACACACACACACATATCAAATTTATTGAGAAATTAAAAAAAAAAATTCTATTCCAGGATCTCTGGAGCAGAGACCTTCCAAAGACAAGAGAATTCCAGAATTTCCCTAGGATTGAATTTTCACAGAGATCTTTAAAATATGAAAGCAAGCACAGATTAAGGGTCAGTCTTTCAGAAAAGTAGAGGTGAAAGCCTAGACTACACTACCTAAAGCAGGAGAGGTTGTGGTCACACTCCAGGAAGGCAAAGAAGCAAGCATGGCTCAGAATAGAACACTATTGACGAATCTCCACCTCCTCCTAAATCATCTACTGGAAAGAACACTTCAGGGAGAAACTATTGGGAAAATCAGTAAACAACAACAACAATACTGGCTGATCTTTCAGGCCTGAACTTCATCTCAGCATTCAGAATCAGGCAGGTATATGTGAGTTCATGGCCAATCTGATTTACATGGTGAGCTTCAGGACAGTTGAGACTATAATGTGAGGCATAAAGTAAAAAAATTAATGAGTTAATCAGTTAATCAATTAATTAATTAAAGTGTGTGAGCACATGCCTTTACTCTCAATACTTGAAAGACAGAGGCAGGCAGAACTCTTAACTCTGAGGCCAGCCTTGTCTACAGAATGAGTTCCAGGACAGCCAGGGCTACACAGAGAAACCCTGTATTGAAGAAACAGCCAATGTCTGGTTTAACTCAAGGCCCACACCAAGAGAGGGAGCCCAAGCCTTAGACTGCCTGGATCTTTTGACCAGAACCCAATAGTCCAGAAACTGAGTATAGAACCAGATACAAATAAAACACATCAACGAAACGATTCCTACTGATATTCTGCTATACTCACAGACCTATGCCTTGTCCAGTCATTATCAGAGAGGCTTCCTTGGGGGGAAGTGGGAGGTACCCATAGCTAGACATCATGCAGAGAGAGAGAGAGAGAGTCTAAACTGGAGGTCTCCATCAGGTCTGTCTCCTCAGAAACTGGAGGACCCCTCGGAAGAGGTGTAGGAAAGATTGAAGAAGTCAGAGAGCACAGAGGATACCAGGAGAACATGGGCCTATTGAATCTATCAAGCAGTGCTCACATGGGCTCACAGAGGCTGAACAGAAAGTCCTTAGAGTACATATTATGGCTGTTAGCTTGGTGTTTCTGTAGGACTCCTAACAGAGCTATGTTTCTGACTCTTGCCTGCTCTTAGGACCCTTTTCCTATTGGGTTGCCTTGTCCAGCCTTGATATGAGGCCTTTTCCCTTGTCTTATTGTATCTCGGTTGGTCCTATTTGATTGTTATCTCTTGGAGACCTGCTCTTTTCTGAAGCCAAGACAGAGGGGGGAGGGGATGTGGGGACAGGGCAGGTGGGAGGGAAGCCATGAGAAGCAGAGGGAGGGAAGGGAGGGAGGGAGGAAGGGGGACGAGGGAGGAGGAAGAGGATTCTGTACAAGAAGGGGTCATCTCAAACAGGCATCACACAGCACATTTAGTAAGCCACGGTTGACACCGAGGTCTTAACTCCCTGGAAGTGGACGGTAACCCATTGGATCTCTGTGATGTTTTGTTTCAGGCAGTTCACTAGAGAGGGAAAAGATTGCTCTCTGTGCCCCATGGAAGGGCTCTGCTGGGGCTTCCCTTTGAAAATGGAATTAATCTGTGCTCTAGAAGGGAAATCATGTGTGTGTGGGGGGTGGGTGGGTGTAGGCAACCAAAGGGAGTTAGGGAAGTTAGGGAAACAGCACCTCGCACAGGGATTTAGATGGACCTAGCTCACATCAGATTCCTGTTCTTGCAGACAATTGTTTTAAGCAAAATTGTATAAGCTGGAGTCTGTCTAACTAGGAACGGGTAAATGACCAGGGGAAACCATGCCATCTGACAAATAGTTGGAGAAATCAAGGATGTTTCGGCTTGAAAGGCAAACTTTGGGAATCAAACAACAGCTATTTTCAAAGAAAAAAGCCACTGTGTTTACAGACATTCATGGAATTCGTTTTCCTGTGAGATTCAGAAATCAGACTAAATGATATGAATTCTAGGGAGGTAGTTGGGTTTTTCTGTTTGTTTTGTTTTTTGTTTTCCAAATTGAGGTAAAACTCCCTGATTGTCAGCTAGTACCAAAGTGAGATGAGCGAAAATGGGGGCAGACATTCAACTCAATAATTAAATGGTAGATAGACGCAAGTGTAAAATATTCCAATCGATGGAAAAATAGGTCTGATAAAATCCAGCCCTCCTACAATCTAAAAATTTCCATGCCAAGCCACACCTACAGTGAATATTTTGTGTGGACAATACAATGACATTTCTGAAATCTAAAGGTGTGGCTATAGGGCCTCGGACAAAATAAAATTCTGTCCTTCTCTAAAGCTCATGTATTCACAAAGGGGAAGAAAGGAAGTGCACTCCAAGGACGTGGGATGCTGTAAAGTCGGGAAGATGGAGTTTCTCAACAGACAACCTCACAAACCTGGTCTGACACAGCTTTCTTGGGAAGTAACACTCAGTAAAGATTGGGAAGTAACCAGATCATCAAATAGCTTTAATGCCTCTATTTGATTTTACAGAGAGAGAGAGAGAGAGAGAGAGAGAGAGAGAGAGAGAGAGAGAGGAGGGAAAGGGGCTAATAGCCCCAACAACAAAAAATTAGGTCCCATGGATCTGGACTAAAATTCCAACCCTTTGTTATGTGTCAGCCCCCTCTCAACAATGGCATTGCATCAGCATGATGTCATCATCTACCGTCTTCCTACTCTGTGGCGTTAGAAAACTTTTATGGGGTGGGACCTGGGCCAAAAGGAATCACTCTTGTGAATGGATTGCGGCTGGCCCTGAAGAGTGGGTGGGCGGGTTTGCGGGATGGAGTTGGTTCCTAAGAGAATGGGTTACCATGGAGCGGGGAGGCTCTAAGCAAGATCGGGGAGGGTGGTAGGATGCGTGTGTAACTAGAAAGGGACCAGAAGGGCACAAGGGGTTAGAGTGGGCAAGGCGCTGGGAGGGGGGGGGGGAAATCAAGCCAAACAACTGTGCGTGAAACTGACAAAATTAAAGCCCAGCAATGAAAGAGCAGGACCTCCTGCTCTCCAGACTCCTGCTTCTCGTCTTCAGGGTTTACCCCCACCGTTGTGAGGCCCTCCTCTGTGAGGGCCTGACAGACTTGAGCATGGTGGGCCACACCTTTAATCCCAGCACTCTGGAGGAGGCAGAGGTGGACAGATAGGTCTACGTGAGTTCGAGACCAGCCTGGTCTACAGAATGAGTTCCAGGACAGTCAAGGATATATAGTGAGACCTGCTCTAAAACCAACCAGACAAGCAAGCAAACAAACAAAACCCCAGGAAACAGCTAAATATATATCTTGTATGTATAAAAGACTTAGTCCAAGCAACACTAAACAAACTAAATTACTGGGGTTCATAGGGGTGTAAGGAGCCTGAAGTGTTAGTTTTAAGTGGCGGGAGGAAGAGGCTCCTCAGCTCCTCAGCACACTACTCTTTCAGATTGTAAATATTAAAATAATTACTGATTTGTCCCATAAAGGCTTAATTTGTTGTAGACATATCTTCTCAATTTATCCCGTAAATTGCTTCAAATCCAAATCGATGGCTCCCGTGGTCAAGAGCACTGGCTGCTGCTCCAGAGGCCCTGAGTTTGATTTCACCACCACCCATAACTCTAGTTCCAGGGTCTCCAACGCCCTCTTCTGGCTTCCGCTGGCACTAGGGATGCATGTGGTACACAGACATATACACAGAGAGACACCACACACGTATTAAAATAATGAGAGCAATAACTCTTGTTAAGTCCCAAATCCTGGGACAAATGGCGGAGGTGCTTATGTAACATATCTAAACAGACCTGGCCGACAGATTCTCCCAGCAACCCAGCTACAGGGTGTGGATTGCAGCATAACCCCACCCACTGCCCTGAACTCTCCAGCTCGGGGGCTGGGCTGCCCTCCCCCGGAGGCTCTAACTGTATAATCCAGACATTTCAGGCACCTGCCCCTTTTGGACCTTTACCCTCTTGACTGCTACCCCGACCAGTCCCGTCTACCCTCTTCCTGACCCCCACGTGTCCCTGCCTTGGCCTACAGTCTCCATTTTATCTACAATAAACTTTCTCCTCCACCATACCTACTAGGAGCCGTGGCCTTTCCTTCCCTTTTTATTTTTATTTCAATCACCTTTTAAATTTTAAGGTTAAACACTGAGGAGTCATATTCAAATTTCCAAGTGGCCAAGAAATTCCAATTACCTTTTCTTGAAACGAAACCATGGCCTTCTGGAACTCTTTTGCCTCGTCTGTCACTTGAGCCAAAAGTTTTGCATTTTCACTGAGAGTTTCATTCAGAAAGTGGCTAGACTGAAAATTGAAACATACACACACACATATATATAAATGGTTAAATTATTCATGCCAGAGTGGAGAATTCCAGTGTCTTAAGCCTTTCCAACAGTCGCCAAACATCATCTGTGAACATACCTTAGCTTTCAAAGTAGCCCCCAGGATACCTGCTGCCACTTGCAAAAGCAGAATCAGAAGCAAGCCGATGAAAAACTGAAAGGCAAGGCAGGGACAGGAGTTATTCTCAGAGTAGCCAGTAACTACCCACAGCATTGCAGTGTCACGTGAGCCCTGGCGGCCAGAACAGCCTCAGACACAGCATTGCCTACCAGCCTAGTTGTCCACCTCATTAAAAAAAAAAAAAAAAAAAAAAAAAAAAAAAAAAAAAAGATCAGGGAAAGTGGCTGCGATTAAATCTCATCGGAAAGACTATTGTCCATTCTGTCATATTAAAGGGAAGCAGGTTTGAAAGCCTAGAGAACCTAAGCATTGTTCTCTCCATTCCTGCTTAAGTCAAGGCGAACACACGCACACTCACGCGCGCGCGCGCACACACACACACGCACGCACGCATGCTTAAAACTGGTTTCTGAACTCTATCTTCACTATGGGATTTACATGGATCTTTGTTCCCAGTGTAAATCCTGAGCTCTGCCTGGAGGATGGAGCCCACATACCAGTCTGTTAAAAAAGAAAAAAAAAAAAAATTCCTCGAGTAATTAAACGGCGAGAGAAACCCTCAGTACTCAAAAAGCTCTCAGGAGATGTTCCCGGAGTCCCTCACAGCGAACAGCTAAAGCACCATTACTCTCGGACATGCGCGGTGCTTCTTTAATTATGTAAACAGTTTAGGTTCGTTCACATTTATACCCGACAAACACTCCATTTTCTAACAATCCGCCAAGATCTGTCCATTACTTGCTAGTGTATACGATAAAAAGGGAATGCCTGTGGGCTATCCCACCCTTCTGGAAAACCCTAAGTCACACATCTGGTTATCTCCCTTGCAATTTCGTTAGCACAGCATCTACTTTACTGCCCACACAAATACACCCCCCATCATTACTGGAGATAATAGCCCTGGTGCTCTCTCCAGCCACACCCAAGATACGCTCATTCCTCACACGCAGCCGCCCTGGATCCCAGGCTCCCTTCCCGGTAACCACATGGCTCCCTCGTCTAGGCAGACAGGTTAGACACTTCTACCCCTGGCTTGAAATCTGCCCCTCCCCTCCCCCATCTGCACCTTCCTCCTCTGCCATCATTTTCACTGCAGTGTATTTTCACTTGCCCCTATGTATGGGTCCCGTCCTAAGGTGATCCGTATCACTTAACACAGTGTCTGACACACAGAAACATGGTCACGTTGCTTGGATGAATGACCAAACAAGTGAAGGAAGGCATGACTAATTAAAATGTTATCTGCCTGCTTTTAGACTCTAAAATTTACCCTCAAATTCAAGACAAGGTAATCAAAAATCCTGAGCTATAGTATCTTTCAGATTCAAATTCTCTAAGATAAATTAGGACTTCACAAGCTTGACAGAGAACCCTTGGGGTCTGGACAGTGGATGCCGTCTGGGATTGGTCTGGAACCCACCAAGAGAAGCATGCACCGGCTTTCTTTCACAGCGCCACAGCATCCTAGGAAGCCCAGAACCATAATGATGGCCCCCACCGCAATCAAGATGTTCACAGCAACCAAGGGGTTTGGACTAGCATCTCCAGAAGTGATGATCTAGAAACAGAAGAGATGGGCCGTGTGAATTCCTCGACGTGATGTTTGTGTTATTCATTTTCCAAATATCCCTTGAGTACCCTCTAGGTGCCAGGCCCTGTTCTGAACCCCCGAGAAGATTCTGTGATCTTAAACCATAGAAAATCTCTGTCGGGGCAGAGCTCACGGTCTGCTGAAATGCCACCTTCCTGGGTCATGTAATTCTAGGATAATTCTCCTAGAACGAAATGGTAGATGCTGAGTGGAGGAACTGTAACAGCCTCTTTAAAGTTGTTTCTAAGAAAGGAAAGTACTTTTTGTCCTCTTGGTGGGATCTTTGGTTCACACATTGTACATCCGATATATAGAGTACTATGACAAAGGCTGTGCTTTATGACAATCTAATTATTTTTTGACTTAAAAAGCTCCCCAAGGTCCTCAAGACACTGCTGGTTACAACATGAATGTCAGGGTCAGGCTGAGCTGAAGAAGCCATACATAAAAGAGCAAGATCCTGTAAGATGCTGTAAAATCCGTTCACATGGAGTTGAAGAACGGGCAAAACTGTGGTGATCAAAATTAAAGCAGGTTGCCTTTGAACTAAATAGGCAAGGAAGCAGGAACTGGCTGAAATGGTTCTGGGTTAATAGACACGCTCTCGCACTTGGTAAGGATGCAATCAGCCCAGTTCCTGGTAGTCCGTATCAACGCTCATCTTCTCATTCCCAGAAGGACTGAACCCAGAGACTTTAATTTTGCCAGACTATCAAATGATGGGATGTTGAGGAAAATACCTTAGGTCTGTTTATGGAGGATGAGCTACTCCTCTGGCATAACTCGGTTTTTGCACATGTGACACAGGCATCTACTTGTACGTTAACCTCACAGCACTTCAGACTCATAGAGCATTTGTCCCACTCCATGCAAGTGCAGTAGTCAATTACAACTAAAGATGGAGGTCTTGTGCCGTCGTGTACGCATGCATACTGTGTACAGCCCCACACCACCTAGAACCTCTAGGAACTGGGTTGTCTCCAAGGAAAGATACTCAAGACTCTGTATTCTGTGATCTCCCAGACCACCCACAGGTCCCGTTACCAAATGAATCCATAAATAACATGCCATTAGAGATCCTTCTGTTTCAAAAGCTTTTTAAATCCATTCATGGCCTATGGGAAATGTTTATTCAATGGTCAATATGAAAGCATGTTCTGAAATTACAAAAGCCTAGATCCACATTCTACTTGGGGTCCAGATATGTAACAAGTGTGTAATGGCAGGTCAGCAAGCTAACCTCAGGGTCCGTTTGCAGTTTGTAAAAGAGAAATAGGCCAGTTCTGTGGTTTGTAATGCCTCCTTTGTCTATAAAAGTAATTGCTTATACATAATGCTTAGATTTACAGATTTCAAGCCTGGTTATGTTATAAATTTTTGCATTTATTTTGAGGAGAGATTTTTGTTTGTATGTGTGTTTGTTTGTTTTGTTGTTAAGACTGGAGCCAGACTTCTTGGGAGGGACGATTAGTTTTCTTTACGGTTGTTGGTCCTGGCAGATAGACGGCTCTGCTCTGGTGGACAGCCCCACATGTGGGCAACATAAATTGGGCTTGGTGGGTTACTACAGCAACAAAAGAAGACACAATTTTGGAAGGAGTAGACTGGATAGATCTGGGAGCAGTGGGGGATGAATCCAATCAAGATACCTTGTGTTGAATGTATGAAATTCACAACACATTGATAAAATATTCAAAAGGATTAGAAATTTATCATTTTGGTTTTGCGGACAGGGTTTCTCTGGAAAGCAGCTACGGCTGACCTAGAACTCACTCTGTAGCCCAGATTGGCCTCTGCCTACAAAGTGCTGGGATTAAAGGTGTGTGCCACCACCATGACTGGCTAGATTAGAAAATTATTAAAGCCAGATAAATCATTGTTGTTAATAAGCAGGCGTGAGATTAGAGACAAAAAGCATCTTCGGGAAGGTAGCTCTGTCTGGTCAGCATCTAAACATGTAGCAAGGTTGCTAGAGCTCAGGACAGACCCAGAGGTAATAGGTTGACTATCTAAGAAGTGTGGCTGACACCTGCACAGGAAGTCATTAAGGACTTTGTGAGGCCACCCACTGCCAGGGGACAGGCTGAAAGAAAGCCGCATTCTGACCTTCTACCAGTCACAAATGCCTATTCTTACTGAAGAATGAGCTAGAAATCTGAGCCGGATGATTTTCCCAGCAGAAACCCAGAAAGGTTTCCAAAGCTGTCCCATATAAACAGAACCTGTGTGTTTCTTAAGAAAAAGGGAGACATTCTAAAGAGGGTGCTGGTGAGTCTGAAAGATGAGGCTTCTGGGATCTTCTTTAGATTAGAAGAGATGTCCCGAACAAGGGTGGTGCCCTAGATTTTGGCCTTGGAAGCTATTGAGTTTACCCTTAAAACTTCTCCTTCCAAGCCACGTTAGCAGAAAGAGATGCCGGCTCCCCATCATTCTTTTACGTGTTTGTTCTCATGTTGGCCCTTGTGAAACTACTAGTCCTACTTCCCCAGAAATAAAATGGAGCTCTCCACTCAGTCATGACTCTTTGCCACTGACGCCTCAAGCTAACTTCACGAAAGCCAGGCTGGTTGTCTTGACTCCAGTTCTGGGCAGGAGGCTGACAGCGCGGGGCTGCCTAGCCCTTGTACTCCATCCCAAACCCCAGATGTGGAGTCAGAGTCACATTCTCTCAAGGACAAAGGCTCTCGTTTAATGTATTCAATGTGTGCCATTTCTTCACAGACTAAACACCAAGTTTGCTTAACAGAAACACTGGGTAGAAAGAAAACATGGGCCAGAAATCAAGTAATAGTATAAAAATCAGGCGGTGCACACATCTTCAAAAGTCCAGAGTACCCACACCCACAGAGTGATGGTTGTTAGTTTTTTTTTTTTTAATTATGAGCCCTAAAGTCAGACAGATTACATACACCTTCAAAACCCTCTTCCTCTTCTTCTCACCCCGGGACCATCTGGAGTTTGGAGCCACGTTTATCAGAATAAATAATGAGTGGAATTCTGATGAACTGGAGGCTGCCTCACCCAGCCCCTACCAGTGAAGTATAGAATGAGGAAGTAGCTAAGAGCCTTAGGGGTTCTCTGGACTCTCGTGGGATAGAAAATTTTAAAAAGTCATAAGAGAAGAAGCCACAGAGAGGGAAAGAGGGAAGATGAGGAGGGAGGGATGGGGGAATGAATATTTCTGGTAATGCTGTCCATATTAGAAAAGGAAAAAAAAAAATCCAGCTGCCAGTTTGCTTTTAATCCTTCTTTCCACGAAATCATGCCCCCAAGGTGGTTAGTTGCACTATGACATAATAATAATTTAAGTAATTTTAGAGGACTGTCTTCACCGCTGGCTTACTATTATCTTTATAATATTCAATAGGAATCAGAATTCTTAAGAGAGGAAAACTATTGGTACAAAACCTCTGAAAAGGCCCTAACAACAGATGTGACTCCACCAAGAGCCTGGCTTCGTAACCAAGGGTGAGCAAAGAATAGGAGCTAAGCCCCTGGGGTTGGGGGTGGGGCCGTGTGGGGGGATAGGGGGGTGAACGGTGCACTCTTTGAATTGAGAGGGAAGAAGAGAATGGAAATTAGGGAGCCGAGAAATGGGGCCAGTGTGGAGTTAATTTGGATAAATGTGAAGCAATAACGGAGCCACACACCTACCCTTCCCCCCTCCCCTGCACATCTGTAACACCTTAGCGTGGAAAAGAAATATCATGGGTTGAGTCCAGAGGCTGGGGCTGGAGTTGCACCTGGAAACTAAACTTCCAAACACGGGGGCATATTGCTAAGAGCTCTGCCCCTGGGATGAAGAGGTGTAGGGACTGAAGAGATTGTTCTTGTTAACTGTGTGTGAGATCAAGAAGCTGAACACCTCCCGAGTCACACTAGTGTGACAGCCTCTGGTTGAAGTGGCTGCCTCCAAGGCCGGTAGTGAGAAGTACATAAATACGTTATTCCTTGTGCCGTGATGCCCCTGAAGACTACATACAATCCCGTTCCTCTCCACTCTCATCCCAAGCACCTTGGGATCAGCTGTGTCCTAATCAGAGTGTACCAGAGCACTCGCTCTCAGTGGGGAAGAAAGGTGTCTCCGCTTTTCTGTGTCTCCAAGCTGCTCATTGGCCTGGCCTTCAGTGATGAAGGATGCAAGACTCCCCTTAGGCCCCAGCCTACATCTCCTTGTGTTAAAGTCTTTCTAGTCTGAAAATAATGCCACTGGGGGAGAACCCCACGTCACGTAGGGTGACACATGTTACTGGGGAAACTGGGGTCACCACTCAGGGTTCTTAGTCTCACTGAGAAAAGAATTTAAGAATGGGTTCAGAAGAAAGCTCAAAGATAATTTGAGCTTAAATGAGAAAGCCCAGGGCAGACGAGCCACAAATCCTGGCAGCTTCGTGGAAGAAGATGGCTAAGAGGAAGATAGGAAGCAATGCTGTTTGAGTTGAGTCGACATGTTCAGCGGGGGAGGTCAGACAAACAGCCATGTGGCAGCTATGTAGTGGGCATCCTGCCTAATGCGATTCTTCGTTATCAATTACACGGAGAGCTGGACTCAGAGAAGGAAAATGCATTATTTCGTTAAGGATATAACTCTTCCTGTATTTTTAACATGGCTTATGGTAAACCAGCCTTCTTGAGGGCTGGACCCTTGGCCAAGTGACTGACCAGCCCCAACTGGATTGATTAACTCTTACATTTTTTTGGTAGCTTTGATGATAGATCTCTATCCATGCCAGAGAAATCGCCTTCCCTTCACAAGCACAGATGCTTCTTTGACAATAACATACCCTCTCAGCTCTCCGGAAGGACTGCTCCACACAAGGCATATAACAAGCAATTTTTGTTGTTGTTGTTGTTGTTGTTTGGTTTTTCAAGACAGCGTTTCTCTGTGTAACAGTCCTGGCTGTCCTGGAACTCGATTTGTAGACCAGGCTGGCTTCTAACTCACTCAGATCCACCTGCCTCTGCCTCACAAGTGCTGGGATTAAAGGTGTGCACCACCAACGCCCAGCTCATAATAGGCAATTTTGATGGCTTGAATTGAGAACCCAAAGAACATCACAAGTGGTAAGGGAGACATTTAAGAAAGATGGAATAAAGCACTTACTGCCTGTCATCATTATTGCCATTACTATTCATTATGGAGATAGAGTTGCGTTGTGTACCTATATTTACCTCTTTGCCATCCTTGCTCACTCTCATCCACACTGCTAGTGCCAGGATCAACGTTCCACATATCTGCAGAAATGCAGGGAAGAAAGAAACGTTGAGTATAAATATAAAATGAAATGCTAATTCCATAAACTCCATTTATCTTGCTGCAATAGTTTATTGATAACCAGATGATTACAGTCTGACGGACTCCTTAGCAGTCTATGAGATTAGATAAGAATAACAATCTAGTTGAGACAAGAAACAGTTCATATAATTTAATTCCAATCATGTGCCCCCCCCATGGTTGAAAGATAAGATATCCCTAACATACTCCTGGATTTGACTCTTGAACTCTATTTTGGACCAAGAAAGAAAGGCATAACTCATTAATCATAAAACATGCATTCAGGATTTCTGAGGAAGAATCAAGTTTGCAAAGATAAACAATAGAGAATTTGACAAAATGTGAAGTTTAGCAGTGGTAGTATATATTAATCAGTAGTTTTAAACTCAAACCTTTTTAAAAATAGATTCTTTTAGGTAGTAAGGCTTACCCCTAGAAAAGAAACAATGGTGAACAGTTTTTAAAGTCTTAAATTCCTTTAATGACTCTACCAGATTATTTAATTTGGACCACGGCCAACACATAAAATGTGAAACACGTTTTACTTTAGTGTAAGGAAAACTCTTGTCTCTCGAGGTTAAAAAAGAAAGAGATACACATAGAGTCTTCAAAAAAAAAAATCCAAGATGTATTATTAGATCGATATGCTGAGGGAAACTCTGGTGACATATAAGACTTAGTCAGCCTTGGAGGACTTTCTAGAGCTTTCTGACCTTTCCACACACTAACAAAGAAATGTCTGAATTCTCCAAAACCCAGTAACCTTGGAGGGTCATTGCTTTTATGTGCGCATGGTTGAGCCACATGCCTGCAACCTTCAGCAGAACTTTTAATGCTACTCATTAAGTTTGCAGTAGAAATAAGGCCAAGGGGCTTACTAAAGGAATAAGGAGTTCACTGCAGCTAAGGAAACATGGAATCTTTGCTGCCTAAAAGACCTCAAAAGTTATCAAAGTCTAAACTATTAAGATAAAGTTACTGAATCCTGATAGAGTATAGTCACAAGATTGAAATCCAGGCCAACTCCTAACCAATCTGCCCTTATTTCATGCTCTAACTCCTATAAAAATTGCCCCAATCTTCTATGCAATTTAAGAAAAGAACAAAATTCTTTGTTCAGTAGATAATTACCTATGCAACTGACTCTCTTACATGCATATATATATATATATATATATGTATATATACAGCTATAGATAGATAGACACTATACAACATAAATTAATAAAAGTTTAGAGTTGCAAGCCTCATTACCCTTCTTTCCAATAAAGCTAATATTTACAAATGAAGATTAGGACCCATGTCAGCAGGTGGGAGTTAGCAAGCCAGAGAGTGACAATTAGTGTCAAAAGATAACCAAGAGACCTTCTGATGATGACTTTGTAATAATTACACTTTTCTTCTTTCTTAATTGATTTCCTTACTGGTGTTTTCGGTCTTCTTATTGTCCCTTAAGTACGTTTATACTGATCACCTTTTTTAATTTATTCTTGGGGAATTTCATAGTGTACATTTTTTTATCATATTCTTTTCCATGCCCCCACTCCCAGGCCATCCTGCCTCCCTTCCTACACCGTTTCAAGTTCTTTCTTCCTTACAAACAAGAAGAGGAAAACGCACTAGAAAGCACGAAGTCTGATTTGTGTGTTGACAATGAGCATGGAGTCTGCCTGGAGAATGGTTGATATACCCAATATGACTCCTTTAAAGAAAATCGATTCTCCTTCTGCCAGTTGCCATCATTTGTGAGCAGCCTCTTGCCTGGGGCTGGGAGTCTGTGCCCACTTCCCCGGCTTTGAGCCGGGATTTTGTATCTCCTGAGCGTATCCCATGCATGCTTTCACTGCCTGTGTGGATTCATACATGTATCTGTGCTTTTGTGTCTGTTCCCTTAAAATCACCCGTCACCTCTGACTCTTACGATCTTCCTACCCCCCTCTTCTACATAGATCCTGAGCCTACAGGGGAGAGCTGTGATGAAAATAAAATAAAATAAAAAAGATTCTACTCAGGGATGAGCACTCCAGAGTCTTTCACTGTGTATTGTCCAGTTGTGTGTTTCCATGTTAATTCCCATCTACTGCAAGAAGAAGCTTCTCTGATGAGGTCTGAGGAAGGCACTGGTCTTTGGGTAGAGAAATATGCCATTAGGGGTCATTTTATTGTTATGTTCATTTAGCAGAATAATAGTAATGGTTTGTTTGTTTGTTTGTTGTTTTGAGTACCATGACCTATCTAGTCTCAGGTTCTTGACTTCTTTAGCAGTATCAGGACTAGATTCCATCTCATGAAAAAGTGGTTGGTTCTTCCTATAACAACCCTGCCACTCTTACACTAGTGGGCATATTTTAGAGGCAGGTTGTTATTACAGCACTCAGGACTCATAACCGGAAGAAACCCATGATGACTTTTCTGCTTCAGAAGCATATAGAGCTCTTAACCAGGAGGGTTGAAGCTTTCCTTGGAGTACCAGCCAGATTTCTCCATGTTTGATAACATAAGCCTGTGGTGGATTAAGCAGCAAGGTTGTCGAGGGCAGCTAATAGAATCAGTTAGCAATTGCCTGTAATGTTTGGGGCAAGTCTATGGGAACCTTTTGATCAAGAACTCAAAAAGATATAACCCATTCTTGGTACTGGGAGTTTTATTTGATAGCATATGATGTCCAGTTGGGATATTGTCTCCCTATTACATGGTAACTCCGTTTAAATTTCTTTTATATATACGTAGACTTTAGGAAGCTTCTGTAGTAGTAGGTTTTCATACGGTTTTTCAAAAGGTCCTTAGTGCTGCTCATACCATTCCATATTGCCTCATCTACCCTGATCTTCAATTCCCCACATCCTTATACTGATCATCCTAATAATTACTCTTGTCTTTAAATTTAAATAAAAGTAATGTTAATTACCCTAGTAACTATTGTTTATCTGGGATCTATCATAATATCAAAGAGAAGGCTTTAAGACAACACCAAATGCTCAGCCTTGTAAACCTATACATATAACACCTACAGGTAATGCATTTACACATTTCTACAACAATAATTAATGGAGTTTGACTCCCATTGCATTAAGATGGACCCTCACAGAGAGTTCATGGGGCCCTTCCCATCCCTAGCCTTTGACTCTAAGTTTGTTGTTCAGATATGTCCAGCTCTAGACACTTTTTGTTGTAATAGTGTGAAATAAAAGGTATTAATACACTGGCTCTAGGCCTGGCAACATCAGACACCGTAGAACTAACTGGCCCATCTTTGCTCTGGTTTCACTTTCAGGAGAGTCACTGTGGTTTTACCAAGTTGTAAGGTGATGTCTTTGATTTTTACAATTAGGATGTGATTGGTCAGAATCAGTGTTCTGAGAATTTTGATGTTTGCGTATGGGCAAGCCATAGTCTGATTAGCATCTCCCTACACTCTTACATTAAACACTGTTCCAATGACTATATCTAGAAATAGGACTTTTAGGAGATAATTAAGGTTAAATGAACTCATTGAGGCAGAATTCTAATCCAGTAAGATTGTGGACCTCATGAGCAAGATCCATCTCTCTCCACTAACTTAATCTCTTGGAAGGACCACATGAGAACATAGTAAGAAGGCAGGAATAGGACCCTCATCAGACTCTCAAATGGCCATCACCTCTACCTTAGACCTCCCAGCTTTCAGAACTATAGGTAATGAATTTCTGTTGTTTCAACTACCAATCACAGTAATATCTTCCCAAGCAGACTAAGACAGAAAATACGCTGAAGTCAACAAAATGTTACAAAGATAATGGGAAGACATTATGAGCTAACTTCTGATTTGAACTCTGTAGGACTTGACAGGAATTCATGTGGGTTCCTGGAAACCCAAGCTCAGCTTACAACTGCTCCCAATGCTCATTAGTGGAGAAGAATCTGTGTTACCCACAGCAACAGGCTTGTGGCCCCTTGGGTGGGGACATTTGGGGTCTCATCTATCTAGAGTAGTGGCCAGCATCATTGAGGGTATATCCCCTTCATTTTCACAGACTCTTTGCCTTGTGAGAAAAGAGAAAGGTCAAGTAGGACTAAAATTATGCTTATGTTTTAAAAAGCCTTCCACGCATAAAATACAATCATCATTTGAGGGGCAAGTTTTTATATTAAAAAGCAAATATGATCCAAAAAACAATTAAATTTCTGCATACCAATCCTTGCTAATAAGTTTTTGTAAAAATCCTTAATTAATTCTTGCAATTAACTTTCTAGGTGAAAGTGCCATCTTCTATTTATGCACATAGAAGCCAGTCCAGACATCCAACAAACGTAAGTTAGCACACAAAGCAATAGGGTGTGTTCAGGATCTGAATCACAATTGTACTTCGATGTTTTCTCTGTCTTCCCCAGTTCCACTGGACCAGTTTCTCTCCAGCCCGCTGGGTCCCACAGCCACTTATGAAATAATTACTCAGAGGCTAATATAGTCAATATAATTATTTGGCTAATGGCTCAGGCTTACTACTGGCTATCTCTCTTATAAATTATTCCATTTCTATTCTTCTTTGTACTGCCACGAGGCTGTGGCTTACCAGTGATGCTCAGGCATGTTACTCCTTCAGAGGCTACAAGGTGTCTCCAGAGGCTGCCTTCCTACTCTCTACATCTTTGTTTGGAATTCCCACCCACCTAGCTGTATTTTGCCTGCCCATTGGCCAAAACAGCTTTATTCATCAGCCAATAAAAGCAACACATATTCACAGCCTAAGAACAACCCACATCACACAATCTGCGTGAATCCACATTTTCCCCCCATTTCTTTACCTGCAGTGGGAGAATTTTTGTCTTATCATAAATTTGTTCAGTCTTAGTTCCTCCTCTGGTCCAAACACCAACATGGAAAATTATCCACCATATTATGAAATATTTTCATATCTTTTTCATTAAAATGCCTATAAAATGCTGGTCGAAACGCCATTCTTGGTAAGCACTTATTAACTCATTCAATCATCACAATGACCTAAGGAGGTTCATAGAGCTACAGACAACAAGCTGTAAAGTGCAGAGAAGCTGTTCCCTCCAAGGAAGAACAGCTGGTAAAGAGGTGGTACCTTGTTTGACCTAAAATCCCTATGCCTGAGCTCTTACACCCTTGCTGTTACCAAGGTTCAAATGAATAGCATTAACTGTACAATGACAAGCAGCCACTGTATTTACAAAGACCGTAGATTTCAGCCACGGTGACCTGTTGGTCACAGGGCTTTTCATCACCCAATGGGATAAAACATAATTGTGTCCTAATATTTATGAGGTACCCTTATCTCAGAGATATGCCTGCTTTACCTCTAAGCCCTTAACTCTACACCCAGTGTAGAAAAGACAATGACCTAAACCCTGAGTCACTGGTTCCTGGACTTGGTCCTTGTTAGACTACTTTCTGAACACTTCAAACCCCATTATCCATTGCTCCCTTTGGGTGCAGATGCCTTCAGCTTTCAGGATTAGCCCCTTCCCCTCACTGTGCTCATTTGAAGACTGGTAATGTATCACTGTGCTTTTCTTCATGAAACGTGATCTCTGCATGGTGCTCTGTGTCTGGATTTTATTATCCCGCATCTTTCATAAAAGGATCCATACATACCCAGATGCCCAGGAAGCCCTAAGCTCCTTTGACACTCCCAAGCTTGCCCTATCTAAGAAGGGCGTGAGAAAATTTGGGCATTTCCCACGTTTGACATATGACTGAGGGATATGGGTTTTCTATTTTCGATAACACCTCTGATTCTCTCCTTTGCAGCATCTCCAGCACGACTGGGAATGATTTTCAATTCACATGCTTTCCTTTGATTAGTAATTCTATCACACGTAAGTCACCATATATTTGTGTGGCACATCAAATTCTCCCTGAAGAGAAGCCAGTATGTTTAGATCAAATGACCATATTCATATCTCAGAGATATTTCAACAGCTGGCCTCACTTTAAAAAAAGCCACATTTCACAATTTAGAACCAGAAAGAATGCATTTGAAAACACAAGGCCATGGAAATCTACAAGAAAACCACATCAATGGGAACATTAAAATTTATGCTCGTGTAAACATTAAGGATGTGACAAATTGCTAATTTCCTATGAGGGATCATAACTTTCCAACTGAGAACTCTGGGCTGAGGGGAGACACAAGACAGGAATGCCCGCCCCCCTCGCCCTCAGAAACAACTCCAGATGCCTGCATCTTGATTTAAAACGTTGATGTCACGCGTGGCTCGGACGTTATCATTCGTCTTTCCATCTATTATCCTCGCTGAGGGTCACTGTCCCTTATGTACAGGTTGCAGGCCCCACCTCACATAGGGAGGAGGAAAATCCGTGAAGGAAGTTAGAATTATCTAACTGAAATCTACAGTATCAGTAAGCTTCCCTGTGTGACATCGGAGAAAGAACAGATTGTAACCATAAAGTAATTAGAGTTTACCCAGGAAAGCTGTGACGGTGTCTGGGATTGCAATGGCACACAGATAGCACCCCTGTGACTGACACTGAATCTTTTACCTTAAATCCCATTGCACAGCACTTGCCAGGAGTGCCCTTATGTAATGTTTCGACTCAAAATTTGGATCTATTCCAAATTCCTGTTTGTGAACTAGACAGACTTCTTCTATCCATCAGACCGTCACATTCTCTGTTTTTAAAATATTGATCTGCTGTAGCTTTTTCCTACATTTCTTCATGAAGAAATAAATAGTTTAACTTCGGCCAGGAAATGGGCAGATGAGCCCAGGATACCTTGTCCCACTTAATAATAAAGAAGTTATAAAGATCATTATAATCATGTCAAGAAGATTCAGAAACCAAAGCAAAGAGCCTTTTATCAAAAAGCCAGAATAAATTGTACAACAATAAGGATAAAAACTGTATCAGACCACATTTTCATTTCATAAGGAAAATATTATCTCATTGTTGAATGGTAGGAGAAAGCTAACTCACTTTGAAATATGGCTAAAAATTAAGAAAGAAATATTTATACCATGTTTGTGCACACATTCATGATATATAAAACATGTGATATACATATATATGTGTGTGTCTTCTCACACATGTACACATATATGTACACACCTGTATACACACACACAAACACACAATGCCCTGGCAACTAAACAATAAATTTCTCCTTGACATATTGATAGCCATAGATTATCATACATTTCAATATTTTAATGAACCAAAAATCAGCTTGAGCATCATCACAGAGAGACACCATGCATGCTCCCTGATGGAAGAACATAGTATGACTTATGAAGTAGCAGTTTCTCCCAGACAAAAGACTAAATCTTGCCCAGTGGCCTGATATCATCACTAGTTTACAGAAATACAGAAGATAGAAAAGTACACTAAGGTACACCTTGTGTGTGCAAACAGCAAAATTCAAACTATAGAAAATTTGGTAAGACCAATAGGAATAACTATACAATATTTCAAAAAGGAGATAAATGTTGGAATCAGAGGGGGAGTCTACAGATATAAATTGCAGGGCAAGCTCTATTAACCGACCACAGTCTGAGGACCTTTTCTACATTGCAGTTCAAATAACATTTTTGGTGCAATTAGAAATGTAAACCCTGATTAAGAAATCCTTATTCCATTTTTAAAGTATGAGGATGATATTGTAGATACATTAGTAAATGCAATTTTCTTTCAAGATGCATACTAATATATTGATAGATGAAATGATAACCCTAATGGTTTCTTCATAATTGCCTGGGCCAGTGAATGAGAGTATTCGTGTAAGATTGACTGTGGTTCCATGGTTTGAGAGCCCTGGTAATGGAGTTAATTTTCCACATTTGTCTTTGTTTGTGAATGTTGGAAAGTTTGAAAGAAAGCCAAAGAACACATTTACATTCTACTCTCAGTGACTTTAATAATTCAAGAGAAGTGATTTATCAAATGAATTTTTAAAAGTCATAAATTCTTGAGTTTCAAAATATTTTTCTGGCTTCTAGTATTTTCAAAGCAGACAATTTTTTTTCTATGAAAAAGACAAAGTTAAAGAACAAAATGTTTTTACTCTCTTACTGATATACTTATTTAATTAATTTAAGTCATAAATATATCGCCTATATTCACTAAGGCTACTGGCCATGGCTATTGAGTGCAAAGTCATTTCATACAATAAAATTACATTAGTTTATTTAAATCCATCACTATTTTAATACAATGGAAGTCCTTTCCTTTCTCCTACTGCTCTGCCTAACTCTCTAATAAAGCCCTTTACCCAAACTTAAGAAGGAAAAGAGAAGAAGTTTATTGTACCAATACCAGTCATGACTCTTAAAGGTCAAAAGGTTCAGATACCAAATCACATTCTTATTCTTAATAATGCATATGCTACTTTTCAACCCAGAATATAAAAGGATTTTTTTTTTCCTATTTGAGCACTCTGGGATATTCGCATTGATTTACCTGTAAACAAATAGCCCACCCCTTCACACCTTAATACTCATTTTTCATTTCAATATATTTGTTTTAGCTGCATCAATGGTTCTCAGCCTGTGGGTCGCAACCCCATTGGGGTGGGGAAACCCTTTCACAGGGGTGGCGTATCAGATAGCCTTCGTATCAGACATTTACATTACAGTTCATAGCAATAGCAAAATTACGTTTGTGAAGTATCAACGATAATAATATTATGGCGGGGGGGTGGGGGTCTCCACAGCAGGAGGAACTGTATTAAATGGTCACAGCATTAGGAAAGTTGAGAAGCACTAGTCTACATCAACAGACTTTCAAGCAAAGCATACTCTGCTAGGTACAAAGCCTGTTGTTTGAAAGGGTGGGTTGATGACACATCAAAATACTGACTTCAAAATTCTAACACATAGTCACCAGCTTAGCTGGAATCTTATCATTAAATACCCTTGCTGCTTTTCCTAGAGTGTCCTTTTTTTTTTCCTGGGGGCTCTGAAAATGGTCCCCTCATGTATTTATCATCCCACCATCCTCTAGTTAGTCACCTGTTTCAAACCCAGATGTCAAGGGAGGGAACCAGAAGCCAGCCTGAAGCAGTTTTCCTTGGAGTCCTTAAACCAGAGATTGCTGATTGACATATAGCTAAGAATAATCACCCTTTAATTAAGGGATATTTCCCCCTGTGTTTAGTCTTGCTACAATATGAAAACATTTGGGAAATGTTTATCTTCAAGGAACTTGAGTACACTTTTTTTTTTTTTTTTTTTTGAGTCATTGGCTTATTTTCAGTTCCCAAAAACAACCAAAGGGAGACAAACAAATCCAAACAGTTAAACAGAAACTGTCTTTTCCTCCTCGTCCTCTAGCTCTGTTAGTCTGTCCTCGGCTGTGATATTTACCCCCAAGTTCCTCTTTCTTGTATACAACTGATAATTGAAAGAAAAATACTTACCCAGAACAAGAAGTTGAAGAAAAACATGGAATATTTTAAACAGCCACTCACACCTGCCATTTCGGAGAAAGAACAGCCACCCAAGTACTGTGGAAGGAAGCAGTCCTTACAAGGCTATCCGTCAGTAGGCTCTGGGGAATTATGCCGTCAAAGTTCCTTGTGTCTGCAGCTTCAGGGCAAAGCAAAGAAGTAGGAAGTAGAGTGAAGAAAAAAAAATATCCAGTTATTAGAGTGGATAAAAATTTAACCCACACATTTAAATACCCCAAACGTTATCTTCAGGCGAGTATGTTCTTTTCACTTGTTATGGCTACCGGGGCATTGGGCCAGGGTATTTATGATCTCTTCTCAAAACCCGCTCCCTCTCGGGTAAACAGATATCAAGTTATGGGTGTGACTGGAGCAGAGGTGGAGAGTTGCACGGTAAGATAGCAGGTGGGCGGTGGGAAGGTCCCTGTAGGCACAGCCTGGCTTTGCTGGCCTCTGTTTTAAACACTGGACTATAGGCTGTTAGGCTCCCAAGTAAATGGACCCGTGTCTCGTTTCATTTTGCAGTGCGTTGTGATAAGAGCACGAAGTTTCTTTCAAAGGCGGGTATTTAGAAGCCAGCAAAGCTTCCAGGCTTCCTTACAGCAACCTTTCTTATCGTTCATTTCAGAAGGACAGCGAAGTCACCATTGGTCAGCGCTTTGTCCCCAACGCTGTGTGTCATTACTTAGTCTGTTAGTTAGTTAGCTTGCTAGTTAGCTAGCTAGCTAGTTAGTTGTTTTCCTTCCAAACAAATCTAAAGGAGAAGCTCCCTTAAATATCTGTCACTTTCAATAACTGAGGGTGAGAGATTCAGGGTTTATCTTTACCTCTTTGTGTGAAAAGGCAAAAAAAAAAAAAAAAAAAAAAAAAAGAAAAAAGAAAAGAAAAGAAAAAGAAAAAAAGAAAAGAAAAAAGAAAGGAAGAAAAAAGAAGGAAGAAACTCTTGGGAGCTGTTCCTGACTGCCGCTTTTGTGTTCAGTTTATGACACAGTTGCCAGTTTGATAGCCTGGTTTGTTTTTAAGGTGAACTCTGTGGTTTCATTCTTCTGAGAAATGACCTAGAGCAACAATTCCACTCTAAGTCAGTTTCTGGGTTCTGGGCAGTTGACAAAGAAAATCCCAGCGGGACTTGCTTGTGAACTCATGAGAGCAGCCCATTCAGCTGTTTCTGGGGCTGGTATTAAGTCAGAGTCCTGTGATCTATGGAGGCAGGTTGCTCTGAGGAAACAATCTGGGTCTTGGTTCTTTCCATGCATGTCCTGGCTCTCAAAGGAAGTTCCTAGGCCCCTGAAGGAAACAATCCCACATTTACTAGAAAGATAATTCCTTAAAGATCTTCATTAAATGCAATGTAACAAGTGACCAGGATCTTATTGCACAAAAATATCTTCCTGATTTTCACTAACATATGACTTTACTCTGTAACTATAAAAAATAACTTTGGTGCATTGTTAGCACTAATATTTAGTGTAGCAGATCAAATTTAGGATCGGTTCCCCAGATAATACCGAACTAGAGGTCATTGATTACTAGAACAATGTGCTCCCTGATTCTGTCTCTGCCTGCCCCAGTCTAGGAGCTACAGAGGGAGGTACTCTGCCTCACTATATTTTTACTAGGAGCTGAAGAACTAAAGTCAGGTCTCCGTGCGTCTGCTACAAACACTTTTATCAACTGAGCCACCATCTTCCCAGCCCTACTACCACATGATCTGAACAAACCTCTACACTCTCCTATGTTCATTTATTTGTGCCTCTCTCCTATTTGTAGCTTTATGCCAGAAAAGAAGAGAACCCGCCCTATTTTCCTTTGTAGTCATAGCATATAATGTTGCCAATAAAGGGGAATGGATGGACCTGTGTTCCACATCCCCAGAAAGTTCAATTAGTGACTCCTTCACTGAGCTCCCTAGGGAAGCACGGGTGTGCTAGCCATGAAGCACATTTCTACATTTCAAAACTTCCTGGGACCTTTAACTTTCTAACATCCATGCTTCTAATATTCATGCAGCAATACACAAATGAACACAGCCACAGGACACCTTTCCAGAAAGATATCTGGGACCACGGTCACAGATGCGGATATATTGTCAGAAACTGGGATCTTTGCAAAAGCTCAAAGTTGGCATTTCAAGGAAGTTTCATTCCATTTACAAAACTGGCTTGTGACAGAGTCCCTTCTAGGAACAAAGCCACGTGACAATTGGCAGATCTGAATCCTGTCCACTGGCATCAACTGTTGAGTTTTGAAATTCAAGTCATTGATCACCTTAATTCCAATGGATTGCGTAGCAGGGGTGGGGTGGAGCTGGGTGGGTGAGATGAGGTGGGGTTGGAAGTGTCAGTCATAAACCCTAACCATTGCAGAGGGTCAATGGCAAGTGGGGTATTGTAAGGGCAGATGACAACTGTGGGGAAAGGCAGGAAGTCCAAATAACTTGAGATAACATTTCCCCAATATTGCCATCATGCCAACTCCTGTTACTCACAGTGAAACGCACAGGGTAAATAAAGGCGGAGAGAATTTGTGTGTGACTAATCACGAAAACCCTCCCTGGCCCAGTCACTACTGAGTCAGGTTTGCTGACAGCATGCAAACCCTGGCGGAGGAGAGAAGATTCCTTAGGTTCAGGGTGGTGGGAAGGGCGTGAGTGGGAGCATCAGGGCCCTTAGGCTATTACGGCATTTCCCGCAGCTAACGGATTTCCCGTCTGGAAACCACTGAGATGGGAACGTGTCCACAAAGGCGGAAACCTTCATCTCCAACACAACTGTCTTCAGAGGGGGAGCCCGTCAGAGGCGATCATGTTATGGGGAATTTAGTGTTCTAGTGGGAGTGCGTTCTTGATTTTTTAAGATTCATTTATTTATTACATAGTGTTCTGTCTGCAGGCAAGATGAGGGCACCAGATCTCGTTACACATGATTGTGCTGGGACTTGAACTCAGGGCCTCTGGAATACCAACTAATATTCTTAACCACTCAGCCATCTCTCCAGCCTGGGAGTAGGCTCTTATCTTGATAATTATTTTTAAACCATGGTCTGCTTTCCCCATGCCTTTTCCTGCATAGTATACTCTCCCCGAACCCTTGCTTCTCTCCTCCTTCTTTTAAACATGCGTGCGTGCACACACACACACCTCTGAGCTTCCAACCATCTGCCATGGAGAACTGCAAAATGAAGGCATTCATCCTTACAGCCTCTTGGACTTGAATTTCCTAAACTACCAAACTGTGAGACAGAAATCTCTCTTCCTCGAGATTTACTTATGCTGATATATTTTGTTTTAGCAGCATAAGACACATGAAGATAGGACTTCCTGAGAAAGTAGACATGACAATTATGTCACCATGATAGTCTCTTCTCTACAGGACACACGCAAGGCTCCATCCCCCAGTCTATATCCAGGGTGCCCTACTAATTTTGGAGCATAGCAGTTTACAACCCAAGATTTAAAATATCCATTTTCAAAAGATTTATAGGAAAAGGATGACTTCCTCATTATATTTATGCTTTCAAAATCCAGGAACCCAAAGTGTAATTGTCAATGGAGTAGCTATTAAAAGCCCAAATGGTGCCCGTGGCGGTGCATGCCTTTAATCCCAGCACTTAGGAAGCAGTGGGAATCTTTGTGGATTCGGGCTCAGCCTGGTATACTGAGCTAGTTCCAGGACAGCTAGGGTTACGCAGAGAAACCCTGTCTCAAAAAAAAACAAATCCAAACGAAACAAAACAAAAAAACCAAATGACATATTTTAGGGGGGCAGAGGATTTTCCCCCGTTCTAATCCATATTCTCACACCACTGTCACTAGGATATGTGCATATCGCATTGTGAATAATGAATTCATTTTCCCAAAGATTAGTAACAGTGGTAAGAAAGCGGTGTTGTAAGGTTGGGATGGC